GAAAGCTCCTTAGAAAACTTTTTCAAAACCCAACTCTCATGCCATTAGAAAGAGGATCATGAAAAACCTATAAAAAAATGGTTCATGAAATTTTAGTTCGGTCATAAAGCTAAAGTCCGCCTGCTCTAGCAAAAAATGCCCACTGTGTACTGTAAACTTTGTTTCTCCTTATGGTTTTTTAAGTTTGTTCACAATTCATACGCAATTATCATTCCTCCGAGTCAGAAAATGACTGTCTGCAACTTTTACTGCAAAAGTCACAGTTTTCTGCATGTAAAAACTCGAACATTTCAAAGTTTTTTTTTGATAGATGATTCCTTCACTTTCAACTTGATTTGTATCATTTTGTAAAGCTCCTCGAGCACTGTTTGAAGCTGCTTCTAGTTTGGATCAAGTTTGGAAGTGAACCCTAAAAGTTTTAATTCCGAAAACCTAAGACTAAAACCAGTTTTTATAGAAATCTCTAAACTTTTGCCAGTCGAAAATTGTCCAAGTGACGTCATTCGATAGATCCCGTCGCGATGATTTAGAAAAGGCTGGTTCCGGACTTGGATCAAGCCGAGAGATGAATCCGGGAAACTTTTATTTAAATACATGACAAGGAAAACCGGTCTTCGAAAAACTTTCTGATATTTTTGTCGAGATGAAGACGGACAAAGTACATGGTTAGATGAATAGTCATCCTCTAAGAAGTTTATATTCGTAAAATAAACACATGTGGGAGAGAGTTGCATGAACCAATTACACCATATGAGTGTGATTAGACCGACGAAGATCGAAAACGATGATCCTTAATTCTCCAACACTTTATCTTGTCTTGTTTTCTTAATGAAAAAAAAACAAGAAAGAGTGTTCAATAATCAAGCAAATAGAACTGGTTAATTCTGTATACATTTTCGCGCTTTCGACAAAAAGATAACAATTCTAATCTATATATCTCTTTACAGTGTCTGTTGTTGTGTCAGCAATAGAGCAAATATCTGATACAAAATTGATTTTATATCAGATATATTCAGCTTGTATTGAGAAAAAATAAAGTTTATATCGTATCTGATAGCTATGAATAGTTTTGATCACCAAATTAATTAGTAGACAGACAACAAAAAGAATATAAATAAAATATTCACAAGAGGAATGTATAGACAACAAGGTTATGGTGTTCCTATGTTTAATAGTACATTACTCCTGAAGTACATATAGTAGCTGACAAAACTGTATCATGACGACAGCTTCAACCATTGACAATGAAACTTCAACCGTTGACTTTTACGAGTTTTCCCCCAACGTTTTCGATGAACACTATCTCATTTTTGTTTAAACATTAGTCGTCTTCACAGTTCAGTCCAAAGAAATTTCTTCCCAACACATAAATCTTGTACATGTTTGATTCCTTTTCTTTGTTATTCTTTTTCTTTTAAATTTTGTGACTTGTACCTACAATTCTTGCTGACCAAGAATTTTCTAGGTTATGAAAGAAAAGAACGAAACAATAGTATAAAAAGGAAAAGTTAAGGACGCTCTCTCATACTGTAGTTTTTGTCAGCTACTGGATGCATGTCAGGAGTTCCTACGCATTATTTAAAAAATGGAAATTTTGTTCAATTTGTGTATATTATTTAATTCAATTAATTCTTATCCACTGATGAGGATTGAGTTAGTGATAAAGCCATTATGATCTGAGGAGACTGAAAGAAATTAAATTAAACGTCTGTTCTACTCATTTATCTTGTTGTATATATGTGAGAGTAGAAATTGGAATTTAGGGGAATTTCGAATTCCCCTAAATTCCACATTTCCACTTCCACATATACAGTCCTCTTGTATATATTTTCTTTATATTTTTTTTGTTGTGTCGATTAATTAATCTGATGATCAGAAGTCTTAATGTTTGGTGATCATTGCGCAATGAATAAATTTGGTGGTCAAAACACATCTTTCCCTATCTGACAACTACCCTATCACTATGTGTCCTCGAATTCACATTTATGGGCGGGCTCTCTTGTCTTTACAGAGTGTATGCGTTCTCTAATAATTGTTGTATCTCGAAATCGTGGTTGCTATAACACTATAGAAAAAAGCCTGTTTCTGTTAGTTCGCCCACAGCGATTAAGGTTCGAACGTGTTATTTAAATACACTTTCAATTATTTTTGAAACGCAGACGAAGGAATAAAAAAATGTTGTTGCAGGATTATAAAATGTATTGAAAACCAAGGTAAGTTGAAAGTTTTTCTCGTGTGTTAGCAACGTTTTATAAGAAGATTAGCAGGCATATACATACTGCTCTTCAGAAGTATGATGGAACACTAAAATGCGACCAAGAAAGCGTGTTTAATAACAGAAAAAAAGAAAGAAAAAAGAAAAAAACGCTGCTATGCAATTATTAAGTGTATTGAAGACCAAGGTGAAATGAAAGTTTTTGTCTTGTATTAGCAACGTTTCATAAGAAAATTAACACACATACACATACTGCTCTTCGAAGACTAAAAACAGCTTCTACTTTTACGGATGGTGGATTTCGTGTTTATATCGTTTGTTTTATTAAGCACTTTAATTGTGGCTTTCATTCGAATGCACAATAGCAATGAGGATGTAGTTCCAATCATTTCTACTTTCGTCTTCATAATTCGATATGCGTATCAGCTGATAATAAATCCAATCAAGCTGATTCTGCTGATACGACATCGATATGGAACAACGTTTCGAATTCGCATGTTTTCAAAAACAATGACGTTCGTTACTGATTCACATTATTGGAACCAGATTCATCGAAATCCAAGTTTTATGTTACCAACAGAGGAGATGGCTAAAGCATTTGATGCTAATTCACTTACTTTAGGTAATACGATTGTTTTATCCAGTCGGTTTGTGACATTTCGGTTAATTTAGGCCTCTTTGAAACGAATGACCTTGCTCATGGATATGTTCGATATTTACAAGGGAAAGAGTTGAAACAATTAACGGCGAAATTAGCGCAACATATCCGACAAACACTCATCAGTAAAAGACTTGAACATACGCATTCAAACTGGATTGAGTGCGGTCTATTCAAATTCTCTCACATGCTAATATTTGAATCAGTAATCAAGACACTCTATGGAGATATTGATCCATTGTCATTTGAACGTGAATATCGAATGTTCGATTCCAATATACATCTCTTCTTGTATCCATATCCAGCATTTATCTTCAAACAGTTTTATTCATGGTTAATCAAAGCGAAAAATTTCTTAATTGAACAGCTTTATCAGAGACAACATCAAGATCAAGATCGATTGAACGAAACAAGGAGTTTATTTGTGAAAATGATAAATGACCTAATGTGTGAATATCCAGAGCAGGCAATAACGACCAAAGATATCGGTAGCTTTAACTTAGCCCTATTATGGGCAGCAATTGGAAATACAACGCCGGCTGTCTATTGGACATTATTCTATCTATTGAATGAATCGACGGAGACTATGGATCTCATTAAGCAAGAAATTAATCAATACTTGTCTCCATTGACTGGATATGATGATATTGAGGAAGACGATAAAGATCATCGATCAGATCAATTAGACAAATGCATCTATTTAGATAGTGCAATTAATGAAACCTTACGTTTAGTAGCGACAGCGATGATAATTCGAAGATGTTCGAGTGATACAAAAATTATATTAAGTAATACTAAGACATTGGAAATACCGAAAAACGAAACAGTTGTACTATTTCCGTGTGCATCCCATTATGATCCACACATATTTAAAGATCCATTTGTCTATAAATATGATCGATTTCTACCGACTAATTTAGACGTCAAACAAAAACGTTCATTTCTTCCATTTGGTGGTGGCCGGTTTGTTTGTCCTGGAAGATATATGGCCAAGAATACAATTAAACTTTCGATTGCATTTATCTTACAACATCTTGAAATTGAATTCTTGGATAACAGGCATCAAGCATCGGAAACACGAAAAATACCCGATTTTCAAATCAGTCGAATTGGATACGGAATTGCACCACCAAGAGAAGAACATAAAATACGTTATCGTTTCAGATAGTAAGCTTTTTATGATAGTATCGTTTGGCACTTTCGCCAGTTTCTTTGCACTTTCGACTAAAACTGAGTAACAGCATAATTTAGTCGTCTTTGTTAGTGTAACCTTGATCAGCCCATAAAAAATCGCTTTCAGCTAGAAAACAATAGATCCATATCAGAACATTAATATTCAGTTTTGTAGGTAAATTCGTGTACTACCTTTATCTTTCAAAAATAAAAGCCACTATATTCCAACAACATGCCTCTACCACCGTCTTGTTTAATTAAATCAAAAGCGACTACGATCATTTTCAAAGTACCAGCAGAGTCATTATTGTTTGACTAGCTTTGAGATATACATCGTTTCATGAGAACGTAAGCCTGAAAAACAACAAGTACATTATTTCTTGAATTTCTTCAGAGGAAAAGAAGAAAAATTAGTTTCTAAAAGAATCGAATAAGGTTTTGTGAAACCTAGTTTCCAACATGATGGATAAATACCAAATAATACGGGTATTTTTCTAGAATTCCCAATGCATTAGCTTTTAAACTTTTTCTGAATAAGTGGGCATTTAAAAAAAAATATCTAAAAAACCGAACCCTTGGTGGAATGACTCACGATTTTATTTTCTTAAATTACATGTTTATCCAGGTTGAAATTTCCTGACAACTTTTCTGGAAATGGGATCTGTTTTAAGTTACACTCTGGTACAACAAGAAAGAAAGGTAAAAGTAACCAGAGAATGATGTCAGATAAAGTAACAATTTTGGCAGCTAACTTTCGCGAGTCTTTTCTTCGTCATTAAAGTTCTTCTTGGTTCGGTTGGGGCTTCATTTATAACTAACCTTAGTAGGACAGATTTATTTTTAAAGTTTATACTTATCCTAAGGTTTTTGCGTAGGAGAAGTTAGCAGTAGATTTATTCTCTTTTGCCAAACACTTTCAATATTAACTGTGTTAAGGTCGCCCGCTCCCCCTTCCAAAATAGATTTTCGATACAGTGCATGATATTGTGTTACGTAGTGTTTCTTACGTAACTTTTATGCTTCTTTGTGTCAGTGCCAACGATTAATTATGTTTTCATGTTTTATTAGACGATGTTCTTGTGCAATTACCAGTAGGTCCTTTCGAATGATGGAACAGAAAATGATATAAGAACAAATACAACGTAATAAAGTCCATGCAATAAGAGAACAGTGATGAAGCATTTCATCAGAGAATGAAGACATTACGTTAGCGAATGAGCATTTCTAAAGTTCTTGAATGAGATTTTCTATGCTTCCTAACAATTGTCACGACACTTTCCACAAATGTTGGGCATATAAAAGTAAAAGTTGTGAGATTTATCTTTCGCCGCCATACCTCAGCGTTCCGCAGTTTTCTAGAGACCAAGGCTCAAAAAGGGCTCTCTGTCCGTGCAAATTCTTTTCCACTATACTTCAAAACAGTTTTGCCTATGTTTTCTTAAGCAAAATCCTTTTCGAGATCGGTTTTCTGGGAGATCTTTAGAAAACCAGTTTCGATCTTCCGATATATAGCTGTCTATCAGTTTTTTTTCATAAGTATGCAGTCCGGAGTGTCCTTTGCAAAATAGGAACTGAGCGAACTCTTAATTTGTCCTAGTTCAGGTGTGGCATCGGAGTTCCTGAGAGTCACATGATCAATATTTCTTTACATATGGTAATTCCGAAAGCGAATGGAAACAGATAATCATGCACGCCGAATCGCGTGGCGTTTTAAAAACAAAAAACAAACGAATGTTAAAAGGTAAGGAGCGGAGCTAGAAAAAAAAAGTGGAAGAAGTAGGGGATATGCACAGTAAGTTAGCTGTTCAATCGTTTAGTGCATTCAATAAATTGTATAACAGCAGCATAGATTGCAGAAAACTTATCATACTCCAACCTATTTTTTAAGAGCAGATTTTTAACATCAATCCTAGTTTTACGTGGTATGGAGCCGGCGATAGTATTCATCATCACAGTACGATAAGGAGCAAATAAATGACAATGAAGAAGGAAATGTTCCACTGTTTCAGGTACAACACATTAACAGAGATTACTTCCAACTAGACGTTTTCGAAAAAGGTAAGAGTTCAGGTTAGAAAAATCACATCTTAACTGGTAATAGATCTGATCATACTTTCTGTTCACGCCATAGATTCTAAAAACTTTTATATTATTTTCCGAGACTAATTTATTTTTAAACTGTTTTATTTTCGTACATGATCTCCGATTATTATATTTTCACTCAAGTATAAAGCGAGGAAAGAAAGACATTATAGGTATAGCCTATAGGTTATCGCTGATGCTGATTCCGAATATGAATATGAGAGCTGCCCTTAGGACCTCGAAGATTCGGTATTCTGGAAAACCAGTTTTTCAGAAACACTGGACAACACCCAAAGCTTTTCTTAATAAGCCATGCTTGTAGCCCGTACATTTCTGATTAAAATGAGACCTCTCCCAACTCTACATGGCCTTTCTTTGCAAATTTATAGAATTTACAAGAAAAGCCCTAAATATTCATTATCAACTCGAAGCTACAGAAATAAGAAGAAATTAATTTAGGGCTCATCGTGTAAATTCTATAACTTTGCAAAGAAAGGTCGTGTAGAGTTGGGAGAGGTCTCATTTTAATCAGAAATGTGCGGGCTACAAGCATGGCTTATTACGAAAGGCTTTGGGTGTTGTCCAGTGTTTCTGAAAAACTGGTTTTCCAGAATACCGGATCTTCGAGGCCCTAAGGGCAGCTCTCATATTCATATTCGGAATCAGCATCATCGATAACCTATAAGCTACTAGGTTTCGTTGAAAAAGTGAGAGGACACTTACATATGTTCCCTCGTCAGCCAAAATCCATCCACATTACGTTAGACTATCAAGATGTACTCTACTTTACTCGTTCAATGTAATCTTTTACTTAAGAATAGTAAAAAATATCCTTGCAGTTCGGAAGATTTCTAGAAAACGTTTTTAAAACCCAAAGTATTTTCTGTTGGTTTGTATAGCTTTTATTGAACTCCTCAGTATTAAGCAGGTAAAATAGAGTACATCTTGATAGTCTGACGCAATGTGGATGGGCTTTGACTGAGTTATG